AGTGTGGAAGCAGTCAACGTTAACATCTTTGGGCTTCCATGAAGAAAGCCAACTCCATCTCAGCACAATCTCCATCCTTCATTCCATATCATTTGTGTCACGCTCAGGTCTTACACTATCTAATACACCCTCCTGAGCCACCACTACCCTCCCGGTCCTTTGACACATACACAGATATCATTCTCTCCATCTATGGGTCATCCCCATCAAACGTTCAGAACAATGGGTTCAGAACAATTAGTTGTCACACACAACTCATCAGAACAACTCATATAATCTGAAGTCCAGTTCCTCTACATTCTTTCAGGAAGAAGATCCAAACGTGGGAATACTTAAGCACATGCCCGGGCAGGAACATTCACCATTCGGATGCACGACGTGGGAGGTGAATGCACATGATCTGTGCAGCACGCACCTGGATGTTGGCTGCAGAATGTCTGATGCATCACGGGGTAGGGGAAGCTGCACCATAAGGCCCCTCCATGAGTGCCAAAAGAACCTGCATAGCTCTTCCCATACAAAAGGCTGGACAGTTATGAGTTAAGTCTATTCTCCAACATAAAACAAGCCATGAAACCTTACTGAGATTCTCTGATTCTGTACTGTAGATGCAAAGTCATTCATCCTACAGATTAACAGCTTCTTCATGGAGTTTGTGTGTAAAGCTCTGGGTAAAAACTGAAAGAGCGTATATAAACTTGCCTATGAACTAGGCTTGTACCAGTCCAGACTGAAGATTTAGCACATCATCTGCGTATCACTGATTTTATCACTGTAAGCATGTGTCAAATCAATCCCTTTTGCTTTCCCCTAGTCAGCTCTTTTTTTTTTAAACGCTATCTTTATTTTTCTCATTACCAACAAAGGAACCACAGTAGGCTGAAAGCATCTACATTTACATATTGAAAAATCCAAGTCTTCACACTGAAAATTTCCAGTACACCACAATGATTGTAAAATTTGGGCTATGTAATCATATGATTCAATTTACATGCCAAAGAAATTACATCAGGATACACTCAGCTATTCTATTTTTAGAGGTTAGATGACTTAGAAAAGCTGTTAGCCATCGACACGGACAACCATTAGCACATAATTTCTCAGATCTGCAAGCCAAGTCATATCCAGGTGAAACTAATAGAAAATTAGCACAAACTAAGGTCTTGCAGGGCCAGCTACCAAAATACTATGCAGTTATAAAAATCAGACTAGATTCACCAAATATTCCTTATTTTTGCAGTAGTTATTTTCTTTTCCAGTGCCACCTACTGCTTTTTGGATATACAAACTCTTCCCTATCAAGGGCACAGCAACACCACTTGCAGTGGCTTCTTTTTCGTAACGCAAAGTACAGTACTGGCTAAAGAACTGTGCATGCTCTGAGCTGGCCAAAACCAATCCGTAAAATGCAATTGGTTAAGAAATACTTCAGTAGCAGCCCAACAGATAAGCTTACTCAATTCTTGAGCATTACATCCACAACCAGAAATGTTTAAGGCAACAGTGAAAGTAGAAGCTTCAGCTTGGAGCTAAACAGACAAACAGTAAAACATGTGTCTGGTGCGCTAACAGCAAGCAAACACACATGGAAATTCTTGCAGCTCCTCTAAAAATAAGCTAAAAGAGTAGTTAGAACAGATCTTTATTTATCCCTTCTGTTCCTCTAAAAAAAAAAAAAACATTGCAGCAAAGCACATGTGTACTATTTCAGGTTTCAGCTACGTTAGTGCTCATAATTACCCTGAAGGATCATCTCTTCATGTTTCTTTTCTATAAATCTCTACAGAATTACTGGGATATCTGCTATATAAAAAGTAATGAGATGGCTGAAGACTTTTGGTAGAACTTAAGAGAGTCGTGTAATAAGACAAGGAAGTGAAAAATTGAGGGAAGCAGAGACAAATTTTAAACATTCACTATCCAGAGCCAGTTTTCTCTTCCAAACAGTCAACAAGAGTTGTGGGTTCCCTCTTCTCCATGCTGCACAAACTGAAATCTAATCAACAGATTCCTTTATTGAGAAAAAAGACAGCAAGAACAGTTGCATCAGTTTTTGCTGGTTTTACTTACTACAATAGGAATGTACCGTAGGGAACAATCCAGTATTTGCAGGGGAATGGACTGGATGATCTAATACAACTTTTCCATTTCTAACTTCTTAGAACAGCTCAGGCTGATCCAAGTTCACAAAGAGATTTCTGTCCAACAATACTGAATGAAGAGAACTCCAAGACGAGGTTTGGGGTTTTTTTTCTTTCTTTTCAATATTAAAAGAGCCAGAATAGCAAACCATATGCCATAGTATACAACCATGCAGAAAACACTAAGATAATTAAATATCCATAAAACTTAAAATACCTGTAGAAAAAGTAGAGAGTTCACTTTATACTTAAACCTTTCAAGTAATTTGGAGCATTTTATCCATTTTATAACTTAGGAAAAAAAGCTCTTTTCTAATATTTGAAATTATTAAACAGTAAGGTAAGAAGATCAGCATAGAAATTTTTATTAAGCAGTGTGTCTACCTGAAATAGAGAAATATTAGTGCCTAATTAGTAGTAAACCCATGCTCATTTTCTTCCAAAACCGACACATACCAGGATCACAACATCCTTGGCTCTAAGCTAGTGCCTTTTTTTTTTTTTACAAAATATCTGTCATCATTCTCTGCCTGAGGAATTAAAAACATTTGTCTTTGCAAGTACAGTTGACTTTAAGAAGTTATTGCTAGGAAAAACAGTCTTTCAAATAAGACACCAGAACCCAGAAAGAAAGATTTGGCACTTCTGAAGCCTTGTAACAGGGAAAAACTATGGCAGATGGGGTTCGTTCTTATGCTCTTACAGCTCTCTTCCAAAAAGGCTATGGACTGCTTTCTCTGAAACTTGATAGGATACTTAATAATCCTTCTAAAAATGTATTAAAGGTCAAACAAATACCATGAGTTTCAGATACAGTTAAGCCCATCTTGGGGCAGGGATATGAACCAGATAACCTTTTGCAAGTTCTTCATGCCCTACTTTCTATAACTGAACACCACAGAAATCAAAAGGTGAGCTTCAATAGCCTGTGTTATGCTCTGAGTCAGACCAGATGCTCTTAATAGTCTCAATTCTTATAATTAAAAAACTTTGTCTTTTGAATGAAATTAGTATGGCGTATTAAAGAAGTGCAACTAGTGAACACTGAAGATGCAGTTTCAAAAATTAAGTCTATTTTAAGATAGTGTGAGACTTAATAGGACATTAGAAGAACCGTTCACAGGGTCACAGTTACACATACATTTAATATTTGAACCTAAAACGGACAAGATAAATAATAAAGATGGTTGAAACACATCAATGCCTTCTTGTTGTAACTGCAATAAGGTAACCATTCACTGATCCCCAAGACTTTCTATCTGCCTCAAGAAAGCTTTCTCATTAATTCCTTTTTGTTAAAATCAGAAAGACCAATCCACCCTACAATAACAAACAACACGGTAACTAGGGCACACAACTAGGAGAGCCAGCTTTTCCAAACTGAGAGTATACTGAAGGTGAGTAAACTAGTTGCTGTCATGCTATCTTTGTCGTCTTTTGGGGAAAAAGGCAAAAGGGAGCAAGTGAACAAGTTTGAAAAGGTTTAGGTTTTGCCTCAACAGAAAATTAGAGCAAATGTTGAAATTTCAATGTTTTGCAGATCAATACTCATTTTCACGCCAGCCTTCTTTAATTCCCAATCCAGAAAGATAACTGATTTAGCTACTGACCTAACATTTTGCTTAGATGAACACCACTGTCAGCCTACATTAGAAACAAAACCAGTGTTCCCCTTTCAGTGATCTTCTGAGCCACCTGAACGGACAGCTGCAGCAAAGCGGTACGGAGTCTGGAAATCACCACATTTCAGAAACTTTGATGAAATTCTTTATGCAAGCGAGTATTGCCTAGCACCGTTCCTCTGTTTGTTGCTTTTGTGTATCAACTACCAGAGAGTACTTGTGTTTGTTTTATATGTAAATTCTCAGCCAATTTGAAAATATTTTTGGCCAAGTATCAACATTATTACATCTTTTTCCAGAATAAGATAGCTGAAAGAAATGGAAAAAGGTGACTCTTAAAACCTACACTGAAATAATCCCAATTTTAAGCTTCTTCTAGATCAATGACTGACAAGGGTAACAAATACTGCTCAGTTATGTGCAAGTCTGGATATATTCACGGCACGGGTTACTACCACCTACTGACTCATTTGAGACCTCAGAATTTCCTTCCAGCTTGAATTAGCTCTGTACTCGAGACTGAAGACATACTTACCATTTTGCAGGAGTGGAACATTTCTAACCAGCTGATTGGTCCCATTTTTCTGCTATAAGCAATTTTAACATTATCAGGGTAGCTCTGCAAACTCCCATGGCATGCTTTGATTTCTTGTTGCTGATCATTTTCATAGCAGGACACTTTACTCAAGTATTCTTCCAAACTTATTTTAGGTCGTACTTAGTCCAACATATTTATGTGCAAAACACAATTTTAAATGGAGGCAAGCCAATAAAAGAAACAGCTTACTAGAATTTCAGTTGACTTTGTTAAAGGAAATTATTTTAAATTAATGTGGCTACTGAACTGTTGCCATACTTGACCTCAGAAAATATATTCCTTCTAATTTTTGCTGTGAACATTTATTTATTTAAGCTAAACTCCAGGTCTTGAATGTTGACCATAAAGAAGTCTCAGATTTCCTGCTACTATTTCGTACTCTTTTTTTCTAAACAAGGGCAAACAACATATGTTTGCTGCATTAGAATTACACTGCCAAAACATCACTCTTAAATGAAATCATCTATGTATTTTTGGTAGAATCTTATTTAACAACTTCCACCCCTGACAGAAACAGAGTTAAACCAAGGCTGTTTTGTTTTCACTGAGCAACAGTTTGATCACTGGTTTACTAGATGGCGCTCAAAACACTTTTCCATATGCTTTTCTCAAAGAGAATCTGACTTAAATGTGGTTTACCTTCACCAGTGAATGAAGGCTTTTTTCACCAAACATATCCCAGAGGAAGGTCAGGTCTTCCTGGCTGTCCACATGTGGCTGCAGCTGGGCTGGCAATGCAGCCAGCAGCTCGTACAGACCTATAAAATGAAAATAAAACACAAAGTGTAATCTGGGGGTGATCTCATTAATTTCACTTAACAGTTCTGTGTAATTGGCTGCCTGGAGCATGTCATTTTCACTGAATAGGGAGTCTGGAGTATCCAGCATAACATTAACTTGTAGAACCAAAAGGAACATTTTTTAAAAATTACTAAGAAGCAAGTATTAGCAGTGTACTTTTTACCTTGTCACAGTTGTCAAGCTTCTACATCCATATATATTTACACAAGGTTATGCAGAAAATTCATAAAGGTTTTGAAAAAAGGACAAAACCAGAAAAAAACACACATTCCTTTGCTTAATCGTTATTCCATTTCCCTTGATGTTAGCCAAAGAGTGAAATGAGTCATGAATAGGAAAAACTTCCTTAAAAGAACAGAAACTGGATAGGGTGGTCCATTAAAAAAAGGTTCGTGGTTTCTCTAAATATTTCTTGCTAATATATTGCTTAATATTTTTTTTATCCCGTGTTCAGTAGGAATCCACAGCAAGACAAAAGGAACTGCTCTGTTTTGCAGGATTAAACCTTAAAAAACAAAACCAACAGTTTTCCCAGACATACTCACACACAGAAATATTTCAGTAACATTTTTAATTTGCAGGTATTTGAGATTCTCCGTAGGGTTAAGGCAACTGCTGTTCCCGGTTATTTGTGGCACACCTCACCAGCAGTCTCCGAGGGGCAGACAGTAGCACACTGTTTCACAGTAGCATACAGCATAAAATATCCATCATGCACACAGGCCATCAAACTGCTGTCCAAGAAATGTAGCAACAGTGTTTGCAGCAGCCCTCTTTAGGGAGGTAACCTGGCAGGAGTTGATATCAATTCATAGCACATGTTTAATTTTCCAGTGGGATTACTTGGGGTAAAAAGGACAAAATGCCTTTTTCTCCTGTCTGCTGTCTACAAAAACACCAAGAGTCTCCTGGGATCCAAGATACACGGTCCTGCTATTATTTTTAGTCTGAGTAAGTGCTGCTGTTCATCACAAGGACAGATTTACAAGATATTCTGTTGGTAAAGAACATTGTTGTAAGTTATAGGTTACCTATCACTACTATGCCTATTATCTCCCTAAAACTCATGATTTAGAATATTTATTAGTAAACATGATTTCACAACCTTTCCAGACACTATATATCCCTTTCAAAATTACATACAGCACCTTCGGGATCTGATTATTTGACATTTTTGTCTTTTTACTGCCTTTCAGTAAAATATTCTGGAAAAAAAAGTCCTTCCAGATACATTCTTTTTGTGGTCCAAGTGTTTTTGGTGGTTGACATTCATTTCTCTTAGAATCTTGCTTGTATTTAAATCTGCTCGTTTATGTTTCAGAAATACTGCAAAAAGAGGATACAACTCAAACCACTGCAATTTTGCACGGACAGAAAAAGAACGCTGAGCCTTGCCTAGCGAGACGCAGTCAGTGATTGAGCTGACACCCAGAGAACAGAGGTTTGAATGGGACTCTTGGCTCCAACTTTCCGGACTATTAGAACTTCAGCACTTAGCAAAAACGGTTATTTTTATCACGTAATTTATGCTTCGAAAACATTTTCACTTAGAAAATTAAAAATGTTCTTTACAATCAGCCTTATATTTCTGCACATAGCCACTTCTGTTACTGCAAATACATTTACTTCAGAATAACCTGAAGGTTGTTAGAAAATGGAATAGAAAGTTCAATGTAAGCTTACACTGTCGCATAACTGCTTAGGAACAATTCATGTGGGCTGTTCAGAAGAAAGAAAATACTAACGTCAGCCACTCCCTTCAAATAAGAGATATAAAACAGAGTAAGCTTTCTTTTCCTTGATCCATCAGATCTGCTTAAATTTCACATATAATCAACTATAAAACTATTCTATAATACTCGTAACTTGCTTCTCAAAGCTTTGATAATTAAAAGCTTTGTGAAAATAAAATGAAACTTCATGGTTCCTGATGGATTAACTACTACAGTAGTGACGCAGGGTGAGACTGAATCTGCCTATAATGAGACTTAGGTTTTATGCACAGAATTCCCAGAGAAAAATCCTGCCTGCCGGCACTCCAGGACTGACTAACCCTGCAGGTGCTTACACACATTAAGGCTTCCATATCCAGCCCAGAAGTGCCTGTGGGCTCCACTTATTCATATAGCCCTGAATTGCCCCTTCTAGGGAAACGGGTGTCTGTGTCCCTAGTGCGCTACTGGTAGCTTAGACAGCAAGGCACCCAACCTATGCAACTCGCCTGGGGAAGTGGAGAAAATTATCTAAGTGCTGACTGGTTTTATCCAATCCCATGGCTATGTTTGTAGTGCTGCCCTGCTTTGGCTCTACAGTCCAGTGTTTATAGCTTTCAGCCAGAAGGAAATCAGAATCCCGCCCTTCTCCGCAGCAGCAGAACCCGAGGACTACGCCATGCAGCATGCTGGAAAACACCATGCTCCCGCTCTTCAGACTCCTCTTGGAACTGAGCACTACATACCCAGGAATAAAAAAAACCTCCATCAAGGAGACAAACGAAAAATAGGCAGAAGGAGGACTCAGGGTATTTAGTTGGGAAGAACAGAAGACAAAGATCTAGAACACATCCAAAGTTAAAATTGCATAATTCCAGATCATCTGAGTCAGCTATAGCCTCCTTCCAAACTGAAGGTAATGGCAACAGAAGGTACTAGCATCTGTAAAGGTTTACCTCTACAGACAGAGTCTCATTTTCTCTTGTTCCTTCTCTGGTGCCCGGTACCATGGAATCAAAAATTTTCAGATGGATATTCACATTTTTACATATGAAGAAAACCAGTATGTGGTTCTACACACGCCCCCCCTCCAACTGAAACGTCGCATTTTATTTGTCTCTCAATGACACAATATGTGTTGTTCTTATTCATTGCAGTGTGCAGAAGGAGTGAAAATGGTGGCTGGCATATGACTTTACTAGCAGAAGGGATTTAAAAGATAGTGCTTTTAAAATAAAATAATAATAGGGACAAAATAACATATCAGGTTACTATAAACTGATAATGAAGTTGAAACCACCACACTGGCAAATACACGTTGGCCTAATTTAAATTACCAGATCCGATAACTTGTCGCATCCACCTTTCCAACACCTAAAGGGCAGTAGCTCAAACCTCTGCAGCCCTGTAAGGTGTCACTGTACAGAGATGCTGCCATGCAGCAAGAGAAGTAATCCAAATTTAATAGCAAAGACTGCTTCAGCCCAACCTCAAACCTCCTGCAAAACTTCTAACTAGCATCTCAGGTGGTTCTGCAAGCCACTGAAATAAATGCAAGTTTCTCACTGGCTTTAGTACTGCCAGGCTGTTGAAACCAGATATTTTTAAAAATATTTTCAGTAGCAATTATAAAGACTGAAGTGATGCTATACTGAACACCTTTCATCACTTCTAAAAACAAAAATTAACCTTCAAAAAGGTCATAGGTATACCCCCCATATTCAGATGAACTGCTTTCTAAATTAAAAATCTATGTTCATCGCATAAGCCATGGAATGAGACGTATCTCAGCACCTCAGAGCTGAATGCTACCGTTGTAACCATGTGGCTGCCAGGCCTTGGTTGTGCTCTTGGTCTCAATTTGATGTTTCTCTTAAAGCCCCACCTCCTTGAGTCATGAGACATGCATGGACCTCCTATTAAAAAAAGTATTTTGCACACATCTTTGGAAAGATGCCCACAATTTAAATAAACACACAAAAAAAGCTTTTAAAAAAGTATCTGGAAGTTGTGCTTAAAAAAAAATCATGAAAAGCCAATAAAAAAAAAAA